TTTGCACTTTGAGTAAATGCGACAATAGCTGTTTTTGCGCCCATGAACCGGTTGTGAGATAAAAACCTGTTAAGAAAGTTCCTTTCCAAAATATTCCAATTAGTCATGGTTTCTGTTGGTTGGTCGAGATACCAATCCTTTGCTTTGCCAATCAAGGAGTGTGGAAATAATCTCATGAATACAACTTCTTCCTCCGCCTCAGGTGCACCTAACGTACCGACGAGTTCATAAAATTTTGTGAGGTGGGTGTATGGATCTTCATGATCCAAATCTGCAAAAGGATTAGCTTATAGTATTTACAGTAGCCCTGTTTTCATCTCCGCTCATCTTGCGGCTGGATTGTTGGTGAGATGAGCAAATCGTCTTAGGCTGCTATTGCAAGGACCGTTAACCATATTTGCTTCTATCATGTTTTATGAGATTGAAGTTGTTGATAAATCAGAAGTAGATTCCTTCTTCTTTTGTTTTGTTAATTGTTTTTGCTTCTTTGTACGTCGTTTGTTATTTTGGGCTGTTCTTTCGATCTTGGGATCAAAAGGTACTAGTTCCCTTGAGTTTATACCTCACATACACAAAGCTTTGCAAGTCTAACCAAGAAATGTTACGAGAAAGTAAGATAAAGAATAAATGTATATACAATATTTATAACAAATATACAAACTTAAAAAAGATGACAATAACTGTTAGGCTCATAATATCTAAACGTTAGTCCCTGGAAACAACGTCATTTGATGTTGAGTAAATCAAAATAAAGTATTTTTGTTATCGTATCCAAAGACTAGAGCGATATTACTAGTGATCAGATTATTGCTATCATCTTAAGTTAAAGTTTTTATTAACTGTATTGGTTTGAGAGTAGTATTGAAACACAAATTAAACAAAATAATATAAATTCGAGTTCAAGAAAAAGAGTAATCTTGTAGGATTGGGTTTCTTCTATCGTTCACGTATGCAATATACCGATTAATTTTGTATAACAATAATAACCATGTTTTTATTCCTATCTCCACATACTTTTCAAAGACAACATATATGTCTACATGCAGTTTTAAGATTCCCCTCGATTTGCTTAATTGATGATGTCTCAACCGGTTAAACAAACTGACAGTATTTAAACTCAAGTATTCAAATGGATCTTAAACCTGACTCTATGTCTAGCAATTAATGTTTAAGTGATTCATTATCTTTGATTAATGATTCCAAATGCAACTTTCATTAACACTCGAATTCATAAGATTGATAAGAACAAGATAGAATCGATAATCATAACAACATGCTTATATTAAAAGTATAATCGATAAATATACATACGATTTCGGTAGAGTAATCCAATTCCTAGCAAGAGAGGGAGTTTAGCTAGCCATTTACATGGTAGCTTGTACAAAAAGGAAGAGTTGGAGATGAATGAGCATCAGCGATGATTCCTCTTTCTTTGATGCGTATCCACCTCGATTCTTTGATTCCCTCCCTTAAGTATCTATTACAACTCTCAAGATCACAAATATCAACTATTACAAATTGTATATAAAACAAAAAACTTATATCACTTATGCGCTTTACTTGGTCCATGTTATAGTATTTATGACCTCCTGTGTTCGCTAAGCGAACTATACTTCGCTTAGTGAAGTAGCTGTTTATTCTTCATTAAGATTTTGAATTTAAACCGCCTTCAATAAATCGCTAAAAGTTCGCTACGCGAACCTTTTCTTACGAAGCGAACATGTCTCGCTATTCTTCGCTCATGGAGAATTGGGCTGCTTTTGCTTCTATCAGGTATGCTAAGCGAATCTCAAAAGTTCGCTATGCGTACCTTTTCTCGCGAAGCGAACATGTTTTGCTATTCTTCGCTCCTGGCGAACTGGGCTGCTTTTGCTTATGTCTTGGGTTCACTAAGTGTAACTAGACTCGCTTAGCGAATCGGGCCTTCGCTACTACTCGCTTCTCTTCGCTGCAACTAACTTGGCTATTTTGTTTTTCTGGACCGAGTTTGCTTCGCGAACTAATATCGCTTAGCGAACCTGTCTTCGCTGCAAGCTCGCTGTAGCGAAACATGACATGAGTTTTTTTTGCCTTTTTTTCATCCTTTGATCTTTTCCTGCATAATTTAAACACAATTTTAGTAGATGTATCAAATTAATGTCAAAGTGTGTATAATTCTATGAATAAGTGCTTTGTATATTAGATAAATGCTCTTTTTCGTGAGTGATTTTTTAGTATTCTTAGCATTTATCATTATACTGATTTCAAAAAAAAACTGGCAGGCATAACTACTTAACTTATTATACTTTAAGTTTGCTTGCATTTTTATTTCTTACCACTAAAACATTTTGTGCATCACTACTCAGTATTTCACATCTTTTTCATACATCTTCTATCCTTACTTTTATAATTTATAATTAGTCTTAGAAATGATGGAATCCGTACAGACACACGAGTCTTCTACTAGTAATCCATAAACCAAACTTATGTACCTCTAATTTACATATATACAAACAACTCATCATAACAATAAGAAAGAGAATAAAAATTAAATGCCGAATATTCCACCAACTCACTCTCGTCCTAATTCCCAAGGCATCACTCCATCCATCTAAACCAACAACCACAATTCAAGCCCCCCATCAAACGACCACATTCCACTCTCTCCCTCTCATTATTAGAGTTTTCCTTTTTCACTTCTCACACTATTTTCTCACATTTTCTCGCATTTTTCTCTTCACTTTCTCGTAAAAAAATCATGGTGAATGGTCCCGGACTTTACTCTGATATCAACAAAAGAGCTAGAGATAACCGATTCATTATTTTCTATATATTGTTATTCTCTATGAATTTCTAACTCACATTGTGAATTTCAATTTCAGATTTTTGTTCAAAGATTATCAAAATGACCACAAGTTCACAATCACCTCCAAGACTTTTACTGGATTGTTATTTTTTAATTTGTTTCATTTTCTTAGAATTTGATCATTTTAGAGTGATTATAATGAATGTGTTTCAAAATGAATTCAAGTTGACATTGTTTAATATATTTATAAAACGCAATAATTTTTTGTATATTATCTTTTATTTCTAAAATATTATAGCATTCAATTTATTAAATTAAACACTATATCAAAATAATATTGTCAATTAATATATTGATAATATTTAATAGTAAAAAATATTTCTTAATTTTACAATATGAGTCAATAAATAAAAACTATTTTCAACGAATGAATTTATCGTTTTATGCTTCATAACATAAATATATAATAAATAAATAAGATTATCCAAGATGTAGGAAGAAAGGTTTAACATATGAACAAAACAATTTTTTTTTTGTTCAATGTCACCGATTTACAATATAAATTATTTGGTCTATTTTTTTTAACATGTAGCATATTTTCAATGCATCTTTTGTATAATCCAACATAATGATAATAAAAAATACTATATGCTATTAACTTAAAAAAATTTCCATTAATGTGTATAACAAAAAAAATTAAGTGTTGAAAAAATAATAACACCTTATGAATCACGATTTTTGTTAATAAATACTCCCTTCATTCTCTTTTATAAGAAAATTTTAATTTTTTAGATTATTTTAATAATTAATGTATCTAACTTATATATAATCTAAATATATTATTTATTCAAAGAGAATGAAGGAAGTATGTGTTAATAATAATTATTTATATGAATTTTAAATCCCAAAATCATGTTTTAGTTGATTAAATAAATATGAAATAAAATATTATGTTTGGGTCACAATGTTTGAAAGAAAGATTTTTGAAGTAATTAAATTAGATTTGTATTTACAATAATGATAATAGAAGATGAATGAGTGTATAAGGCGCGATTTAGAATTTATGATTGTAACAATCGATACAAATTTAAATTCTAATTAAAAAAAAAAGATTGAACATGAGAGATCAATCCTATATTTCAAAAGTCAATTTTTTTTATTAATCGTATTCTATTACTTTTTCTATTGCAACATTAATAAATCATTATTGTCTTGAATGTCACTCCTTTTTTATTTATATCCTAAAATATATAAATATTAAATAAAAATATAAAAATATAAAATAAAAATATATAAATATTAAATAATTTATAATTATATTTAAAAAAAACATGTAATTATGTGTATTTATGTCCATATCTCAAATTTTTATACTCTTGTTGTCATTATATATTTTTTTTAACTCTTTTACATTTCAAGATTTGTGTCCCAAATTGTAACTCACACAATCTATTCATTCCAAAAAAATAAATAAATTTATAGAAACACAGAAGTAATATCATTATTGCATACATCGATTACCTAGAGTGATTAATATTATTACTATATATACCTGATTACTTAGGCTGATTAAACAATTATCGACTAATATATTTTTTGTTTTTATTTTTATAAATAGAAAATTTTCTAAAATTGATACAATTATTTTTATAAATATAAATTACAAATATTTTTATTAATGTGAAAAAATATAATATTAATAAAATTATTTTAAGATACAGCAATACGTTATAAATATTTTTATAAATATAAAAAAGTTATAAATATTCGTACAAACAAGAAAAATTTATTATTAATACAATTATTTATATAAACGAAATTAAATAACAAATATTTCTATATCATTTTTACATCATAATAATAGACCCTTTACTGGTTAGTCTTAAAAATAATACATATTATATAGACACACGAATATTGTACTGATAATCTATAAACCAAATTTATGTACCTCTAATTTACACGTAAACAAACAACTCATCATACCAATAAGAATGAGAATAAAAATGAAAGGCCGAATATTCCACCAACTCACTCTCGTCCTAATTCCCAAGGCATCACTCATCCATCTAAACCAACGGCCACGATTCAACTTTCCCATCTAACGGCCACATTCCACCCTCTCCCTCCTCATTATTAGGGTTTGTCTTTTTCACAACTCACCATTTTCTCACATTTTCTCGCATTTTCCGCTTCACTTTCTCGGCAAAAAATCATGGTGAACGGTCCCGGACTTTACTCCGACATCGGCAAAAGAGCCAGAGGTAACCGATTCGTTCTTTTCTATATATTGTTCTTCTCTATGAATTTCTAACTCACATCGTGAATTTCAATTTCAGATCTTTTGTTCAAAGACTATCAGAATGACCACAAGTTCACAATCACCACCAAGACTTTTACTGGATTGGTATTTTTTATTTTGTTTCATTTTCTTAGAATTTGATCATTTTGAAGTGATTATGATGAATGTGTTTCAAAATGATTCAAGTTAAGTTGTTGAAGTTTCTGGGTTTTACTGTAGTTGGGATTATTGGTAGTTAGTTTGTACTTTTGTTTCTTTGGTTTATTGTTTGAAGTTGAGTTCTTAGGGTTTGATAGTTTCAATGTGTTTTTTTTAATTCAGGAAGTTACTTCAAGTGGAGTCAGGAAAGGTGAGATTTTTTTGGCTGATGTTAGTACAAAGTTGAAGAACAAGAACATCACTACTGATGTTAAAGTTGACACTAACTCTAATGTGAGTTGAATTTTTTGTTGATTTAAGTTTAATTGTAGCTCTTAGTTAGATATTTTGCAACTGTAGAATTAATAGTTGCATTGTTTTCTTTTAACTTGCTTGATTCTGACCTCAATATATTTAGGTGGTTTGAGCATGTAGAGAGGAGACAAGTAGATTTTGTGATAAGGAGATTAGATCAAATTTAGAGACCTCTAACAACTAGAGGTAGAGAGAGTTATTAAGAAAGATCTCGAGATTAACGATTTGAATAGAAACATGATCATGTATAGAACATAATGACGAAAGTCGATCCATGTAGCCGACAACACTTAGTGAGATAAAACTTGGTGGTTGTTGTTGTTGTTGTGTTATGATGTATACAATCCATTTTTTGCTTTGTTTATGGGTTCTGCAAAAAAATTATTTCTGTAGAGAGTTATTTTCTGCTGTGCTTGACCGTTTCTACAGTAAAATTGTCTTCCATTATATTGTTTAGAATTTGAACATCCCTTCATATTCTTTTAACTATTGTATTCATAATTATGAAATGATTAGGTATTTGATGTCTAACTTGTCTAGTTAGACCTCGTGCTATGTTTCTTATGTTTGATTGAATACTGTTCAGCTACTCACAACCATAACTGTGGATGAAGCTGCACCTGGTCTCAAGACAATTTTTAGCTTCACTCTACCAGATCAAAAATCTGGCAAGGTAATTAGTATTATCCTTTGTTCTATCTTGTATGGTATTTCCCTAGATCTTTAGTACAAGAAAAATGTTGCATTAAATTTGAATTGTCGATACTTCCTGGTTATCCTGGATTGTGATTTTTTACACTCTTTCTTGAGTTTAACAGGTTGAATTACAGTACCAGCATGATTATGCCGGGATCAATACTAGTATTGGGTTAACAGCAAGTCCTGTTGTTAACATCTCTGGTGTGCTTGGAAACAATTTGGTTTCTGTTGGGTCAGATGTTTCTTTTGATACTGCCACCGGCGACTTTATCAAGTACAATGCAGGGCTGAATGTTACTCATGCTGACCTTATTGCATCTCTAACTCTGTAAGTAGTTTTCTAAAGGCAGGCTCTATGCACACCAATTTCATGGAGTGTTTGTTATCTACACTCTTGTACAACTTGAATTGATCTCCTGATTGATTTGTTCTGTTTTTTTTTTCTTTCCGTTTTGTTGATGAATGCAGCAATGACAGAGGCGACACCCTTAATGCCTCGTATTACCACGTTGTGAGCCCACTGACTAACACTGCTGTTGGGGCGGAGTTTTCACATAGCTTTTCCAGCAATGAAAATATACTCACCATTGGCACACAACATGCTCTTGACCCCATAACCTTGTTGAAAGCTCGGGTGAACAACTATGGCAGGGCAAGTGCTCTGATCCAGCATGACTGGAGTCCCAAAGCACGGTTTTCTCTAGTTGGGGAAGTTGATACTGCAGCCATTGACAAGAGTGCGAAGGTCGGTCTTGCTGTGGCTTTGAAGCCTTAGACCTGATTATTTTGTGATTGATAGGTTGTTTATCTGGTGGTGGAGGCAATAAGTGGTAGGGTGTCACTTTTCCAATGAACCTTTTGTCCTTCATTTTGGAGCTCTTAATTTCTACATGTCTTGGTTCAGGGTGCAAAATCATTAAACCCATGACAATTTTTTAATTTGTAGTTATTCAACAAGTACTGAACCTCATCTATATGCTCCTTTAAGTTTTTGAGCATGGAAGGTGATAGTCCTGCGATCTGAATGATGTTGAGTATATTGAGGTGATGATTTATGCTTTGTTGTGTGTATTTCTTTTCTTTTTATTTTATTTATTTTTTGGTATTTTTCAAAAGTTAACATCCAGGTTTCTTCGGAGTACTAAACTATAATAATGATCGAGTTTTAATAAGTTAAGAAAAAATACAGTATATTGATGGATAAAAATGAGATTTAGTTGTTTTGCTCATTTTTATGAGCAAAAGTATAGTAGTATAAATTTTTTGTAGATCTCTTTTTTATAAAGAAATTCTTAGAAATGCTATATATCAACAAAGATTTTTTTTGCCATAAATACGAAGTCAGAAATATTGAATTTTGTTTTGCAAAGTTAGTTCAGTTAGTGGTTGAGTAGGGATATTTGATTATCTTTAAAGGGTGGAATTTTGACTACTAGGCCGGTAGAAGAAAACAAATATTTCATGATACAAATATCATTAATTAGAAGGTTACAATTGGAAAAAAGAAATTAAAGATAAATTGAAAATTGAAAATGGTATTTATTTGAATGAGTAATTTATTTTAAAAGAAAAAGTATCAAATGAGTAAAAATAATATTAATATTAAGGGTTAAATGTCTTCTGTTATGTAATAGTAGCGAGATTTGATTTATTTTTTTTTTTATAAAAAATTTTCTGATGCTGATTTAACGTCCAGAAGAAGAAAGCATAATGATGCCCTACATGTCTCTATTGAGTGCATGGGTACTACTCTAGCTCATGTTTTGTATTAAAGTTGGTTTTCAGACCTTTGACTCCACCTTTTATGTAATAGACATTTGTCCGTCTTACTCCTGTTTATTGGATCGCTTACTCCTGTTTATTGGATCGCTCTTGGATCCATGGGGCCAGTGTTGTTACTTCTACTCTGCATCAAATATTGAAATACCCAGTTAATGAAAGGATTGTTAACCCCTTGCCAGTTGTAACCAAGACTGCTATCAATGTCCCAAAGATTTTCAGACTTCCATTAAAGACTTTCATTAAAGATGACTTCTCTAAAGGAAGTTAAAGTAGTAGTCGAAGAAGGTGGGTGTACCATTTGGGGTCAACTCCATGATATATCCTACAAATCTGACAAGTTTGGTTTGGATTTTACTTCAGGAGCCCAAAGAGCTGTTCGTCGTGCTCTCGCCGGAGGACCACTATGCATCAGTAACTATGGAATTAATGCTTTGGAGGACACTGATAGTAACTGCGACATGGACAAATGGATCTTCCCAACTATCAACGGTGGACTCAACAATTGAGGGGCCAATGATTTTGTTCCCATTACTTTTATCCAGGAGTAATGGCCTTTTTGTTTTTGGAATATGTAATATTTGAACAATTTAAACTCTAAGGCCTTGTGCTTTACCCGAGATACAATGGTCTATTTGTGAGGGTTATTACTTCATCTTCATTTGTCATTAATAAATCATTGGACGTTTTGCATGCAAATTTTACGCTCTTTGTCTTTCTTTTCTGCTTTTATTTTAAACAGCAATGCTCTCTTACACACACCCACATATCAAACTGCAGATCTACATCCACTCTGGATCCCATTGATAACAGTTATGTTATTATCAATTATGATTTTGAAAATCCAATATATCAAGCCGAGGACGAAGGTGAGGAAGATTGTGAAGTATCAGAAGAACTCGCCAGACTGTTACAACAGGAGGAAAGGACAATACAGCCTCATGAAGAGCCGATTGTGACAGTAAACTTGGGTACTGAAAAGGATAAAAAGGAAGTCAAGATAGGTGCCAACTTGGAGCATAGTGTCAAAGAACGGTTAATTCAGATGTACATGACTACATTGAGATCTTTGCCTGGTCATACGAAGATATACCGGGACTGGACACTGATATTGTGGTTTATCGTCTGCCAACAAAAGAAGACTGTCCTCCAGTGAAGCAAAAGGTCCGTCGTATGCGTCTTGAGATGTCAGAAAAGATCAATGCTGGAATTATGAAACAGTTCAACGCCGACTTCTTAGCTGTTACCTCTTATCCACAATGGGTTGTTAACGTTGTTCCGGTACCTAAGAAAAACGGTAAAGTACGTATGTGTGTGGATTACAACGACTTGAATAGGGAAAGCCCCAAGGACGACTTTCCGCTTTCCCATATTGATGTTCTGGTTGACAATACCGCGCAACATAAGGTATTCTCCTTCATGGATGGTTTCTGAGTATAATCAGATTAAAATGGAACCTGAAGATATGGAGAAAACAACCTTCGTCATTGTTAGCTCCTAAATTCGACACCAACAACAAGTTGGCCTTATGGGCCAAAAATAGATTGAACAAATCTAAGCTGGAAATACTTCGATAGGTTGGAAAAATACTTAGAGAAATTTCTAGGTTAAAATGAATCTTTGACCAGAAGGATCTTACATCCTTCGACCGAAAGGGTTCCAGGGCCTTCGACGAGAAGGAAATCTCGTATCAGCAATAGATGATTTTGAATTTGAAGAAAAGAGGGAAAAACAGTTCGCTTAGCAGTTGAGAAAAGCAACGTGGCATGAAGATAGAGGTCGAAGCACATGCATAAGACACTTGTCCTCATCCTAGAGCAAGGCAACTCCTCGACGGTTACCTAGTTTTAGTATAAATATAGGAAGTTTATGTAGATTTCCGTGTGTTCAACTGATCATACAAATTATTCAATACTATTCAAGTACCCACTGCGCGAGAAAGAATACTGAAAATATACGTTTGAAACACCACATTTTATAATCAAAGTCTTTTACTTTTCTCTTTACATTTCTTGCCTTTTTACCTTGTTTGCACTTTACTTGCACTTTTACTCAGATTCATGCACTTGAACTTTTCCCAACCTCTTTTTCTATTTACTTTCTGCATTCAAACTCGTCCCAAACTTCAACCTTCCCCAGTCGAACGTGCGTTCTTCATTCACATTAGCATTTATGCCCAAACAACGTCAAAAATTAGCATATGTCTTAGGATCAAACTGATCATTCCTGCGAGTAACCAAAAATTTACCCTTTTTGGAAGATCAGCGATTGTTTACCGAAAAACACGGTGAACAAATTGGCACACTCGGTGGGACGTTGCTAATTTTTATATTTTTGTTTTTTTGTTTTGCCTGTTTACATTAACGTAAATGCTTTGCATAATTTCCTTTCTTTTACGAAGTCTTGCATGCTATTAAGAAGTGGTAAATTAACCACCAACAAGTGTACAACTATTAAGAGAAATAGTGAAAATAATATGGCTAATCAACCAAATAATGGAGAAATACCTCCACCAATTACCACGGGAACAACAGTTATACCAACCGTTAGTGAAATTGTCTCGTCAACTATTGGTTCGATACCAACATTAACAGCAACCCAAACGGGACCAATACTTTCGTATGCAGGTCCCAGAGGTTCAACAGGAACACCCCACCAAGGTCGAATCCAGGATCTCGACCATACGTTCCCCCAGAATTTCCGACAGCTTGGATGGGTCGAGACCAACCTTATGGCATGCCAACTACTGAAATGGCTAGCCTTATAAACGTCGCGTCTACATTTTTAGAACCTTTGGTAAGTGCGTCTTCACCATTACAGGGATCTGGAACCAGTATGAGTAGAAACCAACTTTTAGGAGGGACGTCCCATACAATGCCAAGCCTCACAAACACTTTCACATCAATTTTGAGGCAACAAATGCATGAAAGCAACCATGATATGGTACAAATGTTGGCCCAAACTCTGAGTACAGTGTTGAACCCTCTAATATAAAATACCACCCAGTTGAACCAACAAATGTCAGCACAGATGACGCGCACGACTGGATTTTTTGGGGTTCCCCAACCTATTCGACAACCCCAAAGAGCACATATGAGAGAGAATCAAGGTATAGTCTTAGAAGAAGATGTAACCATTAACCAAAATCCACAACTAGATAAGAGGAACCATAGGGTGGAAATCGAACAACCTAGGGTCGAAATACCCAGATTTCCCCCGCAGATTCCTCGGGATGGTGATCAAGGTGTAAAAATAGAAACCAAAATACTGATAAATTGATACAGCAAGTTCGACACCATAATTATGGAACAGATAATAATCTGACAGCCATGATAGAAAGAATTATGATACAAAACAGAATGAACATTGACTTTCATAGGCCAAACTTTACATCCCCGTTGTCAGAGTATATCTTGCAAACAGATTTACCCCCTAGGTGGAAAATTCTAAAGTTCACTAAGTTTTTGGGGGATACGACAAAATCTACTGTCGAACACATAGCGAGATATTTGATAGAAGCCGGGGAAATATCAAATAATGAAAGCCTTAAGATTAAATACTTTCCAATTTCTCTAACTAAAAACGCTTTTACTTGGTTTACCACCCTCCCAGCCAATTCGATCCACAATTGGAATCAATTGGAGAGATTGTTCCATGAACAATTTTACATGGGACAAACCAAAATAAGTCTGAAAGAACTGGCTAGCATGAAAAGAAGATTCACCGAGCCAATAGACGAATATCTAAATAGATTTCGACTGCTCAAAGCCAGATACTTTACACAAGTGCCTGAGCATGAATTGGCCGAAATGGATGCAGGGGGCCTAGATTATTCTATTAGGAAAAAACTAGATACCCAATACTTGAGGGATATGGCTCAATTGGCCGATAAAGTTCGACAGGTAGAACGTCTTAAAATTGAAAAAACTAAAGCAACTAAGACTCATTGAAGAGAAAAGGTAGCCTATGTCGAAATGAATGATGACGATCCAGAAA